TGGTTTTTATTTATTTATTTATTTTTTTTATTATTATTTTTTTTTTTTGAGAAGTGGCGCGTGGTAAGTAAAATAGGGTAAGAGGTGCGTGAGATAGGGTTTATAAGTGGACCCCCACCAACCATGTGCCCTCTTCCTGTCTCCACCAGCTCCTGCCGCTCAATCATTAGTCTCTCCGTTCCCCCTTCTCCTCCTCTCCCTACTCATACTCACTCCCAAATCAAAACACACTAATTTCATTTCAATTATAACACAAACACCTCGATTTTTTTCAATTCACTGTCCACGAGAATTCTGTACTGTTACTATTGATCAATTAATCAGTGAAGCATCTTGATTAATTCTACTATGTCAACGTCTGCAGCTGACGGCAACGGTGATGAAGGAGCAATTATCGACCCTTCCCAGAAGGCCGGAGTCGACGGGAACAATAACGGCGCGTTGGTGGTGAAGAAACCACCGGCAAAGGACCGCCATAGCAAGGTCGACGGTAGAGGCCGCCGCATCCGCATGCCTATAATCTGCGCCGCCAGAGTTTTCCAGCTGACTCGTGAGCTCGGACACAAGTCTGATGGACAGACGATTGAGTGGCTTCTACGCCAGGCGGAGCCGTCGATTATAGCCGCCACTGGTACAGGTACTACTCCAGCCAGTTTCTCCACCGTCTCTGCCTCCAACCGAAATTCTTCTTCTGTCTCTGCTGCCCTAGACCACAAACCTCATTCTCATTCTCAGTCTTTGCTCTCACCATCGCCTTTCATTCTCGGCAAGCGTCTCCGTCCTGACGATGAAGACCAGCACCAGCACCACATCGCTAAAGATGACGTTACAGCTTCCGTGGGACCCACGGTAGCTGCGGGAGGGTTTTGGGCTTTGCCTGCCAGGCCAGATTTTGGGCAAGTCTGGAGCTTTGCTGCACCTCCTGGTGAAATGGTGGTTGCAGCCGCTGCATCGAATAATCCCCAGCAGCAGCAGCAGCAACCTTCGGCTTCCTTGAGGTTTCTTCAGCAGCAACAGCCATTGGGAATGGGGGAAGCATCAGCTGCAAGGGTTGGTAATTACTTGCCCATAGCTCAAGTACAGGGACATCACCTCAATTTGCTGGCATCTCTATCCGGTCATCCACCTCAATCCTCCGAACAACGAAGGGAAGGTGATGCAAATTGATTGTTAGTCGGGATGAATGCCTATCAGAGTGCTGTAAGAGAATCCAATTCGTCGTTTGTTGTTGATCATGTTGTTGATCATGATGATGTTTGGTCTGCTGAATGAATGTCTTTGTTAATATTGCATATGAATTGTTTGTTAAGTCATCATTAGTCTTTTTCGTTGGTTAGTTGCTTGTTGTGTTTTTAGAAGATAAAAGATAGATAAGTCCAACCCCGTAATTATCTAGATCTAGCTTTGGTAGAACTAATGTGTTTGTTATTGTGAATTGCATTGTGGTTTCATGGTAAATGATGCTGGTATTGATAAAATCGATCTCCAGTATTTGTGTTCAGAATTCAGAGTGCCATTGTAGTTTTTGCTTGGTTGATTGAGTACCCCAATTCATGTAAGATTATTACAACAATAAATGGAAATTTCTTCAGGCTGTTTTTTCCTATTGCTATATGTTTCTCTTGTTTCATTCTCATTATGGTATGATTCGAGAAGCAAGTTCTCTTTCAAAGAAAGAGTTGAAACCATTCTCAGTACTTCAATGTGATTGAACTATGTAGAAATCCTTCTAATTATGAAATGTGCTTAAATGAAGGATCAACTTGGATATTAGTTTTATCAGATGCAGCACTTGGAATAACTTTTTCCCACAATATCTCAAGTTTCCAGGTATTTATCGGTATATTTTGAAGTGTTCTCTTTTCTGGCATGGGAAGCTGCTTTCTAATTGTTTCTCAGGTTTCCACTTTGCACTGTTCATTCTTTTTTCTTGCACAAGTAAAATAGATTGTTAATAATGGTTATATATTTATAATTTCTGCTCCATATTGAATTTACTTTTTACCTTTAGCTGGTTGAGGCTGTGACATGATGCATTGATCCAGTTGAAGGAATTGTCATTCAAGTGATGTTTTCATATGTCTGTTATGCCTTTTTATCATCATTTGACAATCTTAAGGCTCCATATGGATCTTATCTTTCATTCTAAGGAAAGAAAGGAAAACAATGAGGAAAGCCTTTTTCTCATGCTTGGATCCCAAGGGTAAGTTTAGGAAATGAGCATGTAGACATGATCGAGAGAGAAACTTTACAAAATGTAAAATATTTTATTATCCCATTTGAAAAATATCAAGAAAAGGTGAGGTTGAATCGGTTATCACCAGTTTTCCATCCTTTGAAAACTAAGGATCCAGATGAACGTAAATATTGTAAGTTCAATCTTATTTTCTAACCCTTAATTCTCTATAATCTTCTGTGCAACCTTTGCATTGTTTTGTTGAAAATATCTGTTTTAGCCGACACCATCCAGAGCAACAAAAGAACTTCTCTGGCTGTCGAACCTCTATTGACAAAATAGCAATTTATTTGGAACTGAATGCTTGCAAATGTAAGCTCTAGTTGTTAAGTTGAGACACTTGATTTCGCATCAAAAGGTAGGAGTGACTTAATGCCCAACACTTATGCATAATTCCTCATAATCCGAGTCTAGTTATGATTTTTGTTTTGCAGGCAGATATCCACCATTAGGTTCAATGTGTTTAGTAAATTATATGTAAGAACCATGATATTTTCACCTCATACAGTTCGTCGTTCAATTCTTTCGAATTCATTGGATCTCTATGGACTTAAAGGTGAACCACAGGTTCAAGTATTCATGTATCTTACAGGTAGATACACTGAAGAAAATTCCCAGTGCCATGTCATTTAATTCTTTTATGTGCATTTCTTGACTAGAATCTTGTTATAATTTGACATCATGTTTTGGGCGTGCACGCACTTGCTTGTTTGTACCATGAAACTAGGCTCTGGCCGTCTCTTCGAAATTGCCTTCTTTCAGAGCTTCTACTTCTCAGATTTTGTTCGAACATTGAATGTGTGTATATGAGAGTATCTTTTCCGAATATTAGTTTTTTCACTTTATTGCTGCAATGCCTTCTGTGTTGCGAAGTATATTTTTAGTACAACTTTAGTAGAATGGTAGAAATAATGGTATATATGCATGGCAGTTAATGCATTAATGTTGTTTCTGTTGGGAATCTACTTATACATACACAGCGAAAAATTAAAATTATTTCGAGTCCCACCGAGGATCCCATTGTGTTTAAATAAAAATCGTGATAAAGATTGTACTTTTGAAAAATTTTGCAAACCTTTTACTTTTCTTTTTCTTCCTGTAATATTGATTCGCCATCCACAACTGTCCAATTGTCTAGCCTCCAACGGTGATCCACATAGAGAACAAGATTGCAGCTATCAGGGTTTTCTCCTCTTATGCTAGCAAAAATGATTATGAGGAAAAATCATGTGGATTGAAAACCCTAGCAATGTATTTATATAAGCCCAAACGGGCCTGTTCTGGCCCGGTCTGGTCCAATAGTTAATTAATCCATTTAATTAAATCAGATCCGTGAATTAATTAATCCAATTAATTAATTCGGGCCTATAAATAACCAACCCAATTAATTAATTTATCCAATGATTGTTAAATTAATTAATTGACAAATTGCAATCTTTCAATTCTCTTTTATGTGTGACCCATCAGGTTTCTGATCACGATGTCGAACGACATGAAATATTATTTTGATCTAATCAAAATTGATAAATTAAAATACCCTTTTAATTTATCGTCATTTCACACTCGTTATCCCAAAGTGACATCTAGCAATGTGTCAAGGCAATACATGTGACGGGGAATGTCACGTGGTATGACAATACCAAACTCGTTCGTTTACCGTGAAAATATAATCTCTTCGTTAATACGATCCGATCAATTATGAGATATGAAATTGTGTCAATTTCGATTATCGATCATATCTTTCACTCCACTATTAAGTTAATATAAGTCGAAAACTTCTTTTCAACTTATGAGTACACCTTGGCCAAAGATTTCATCGACTTAATTGAATGAAATACAGATCATAATCTTCTATTATCTAAGAGTGACGAATCTTTTATTGATCACAACCATCATACGATTCTTGACGTACCCGAACGATGTCGTATTAGCGGCTCTTTGTAGAGTAACATCCAACACCGTCAAAGTATGACTATCCTCATATAAGGTACCATGACGACCTCAAGTCAAAAAACTAATTCCACTATCGAACGTTAGATATTAACTACTAACACTCAAATAGTTATCCATATGGAATCTCTCGATGGGTCTCCAATGTTTTGTTCTATAACAAAATATCCACGTGTTCATTTAAGTGTCACCACACTTTAGCTTGTGAGATCACCTAGTTCACAAGTAAGAAATGCCACAGGTGATGGTCTATCCGTAATAACGATATCCGTATTTTATTATTACTTACGACCACGGATGATTTAAGATTCAATTAGATATAATTTGTATCTCACAATCACAACTCATTGTGATTAACAAATTATGAAAATTTGAATCTACGGACTCTATTATCTATTTAATTGTATATTAATTAAATAATAGATCTGCCATTAAATTGCATTAATTATATATCAAAAGTATTTATGTCCAAAGTTGATTGGATTTAGGGTATAATACTTACAAACTCGCACTTGCACTAGATCCAATCACTTATATATCCAATATCATAAGTCTACATGACGATCATGTTTATGCTACGACAACTCTTTGTCAGTGGATCTGCAATATTGTTAAATGTGGGAATTTGTTCTTTACTTTACTTCATTTCTATGTATTTTCTCTCTGATGAAATTATACCGCCTTAATACATGTTTGGATCATTGATGAGACTTTAGTTCCTTCGCTTTTGCAATGGCTCTATTGTTATCACAATACAATGGCATGTGATCAACAATATCAGGAACTACTCCAAGTTCATTTATGAACATCATGATCCAGATTGCAACTCTTTGCTACTTTTGAAGTAATCATGTATTAGGTTTCTTCTATTGAATCAACGGTTGCTTCACGTTTGGAATCTTTCCAACAAACTGCTTAAGAGTAAATCAGTTTCTCAAGATTTCATCTATGTAAATTGGGATGAGTTAAGCAATCTTTTAGATCTACCTCTATAGATTAAGTTGCTTCTCCCATATCGTTCATGAATAAATCATTTAACAACATTATTTCAACGATTGAAATATAGGGATGTTGTTTTCTATAATATTAGGAATACGACAATGCTCCCACTATCTTCTTGTAAACACACAATTCATTTTCAAATTTGATAACATTAAACATTTTGACTTTTTTCATCAAATCTAAGATTTCAGCTCCAATAGACTTCTCTTAACCTACAATCACAGTATGCAACTGTGGCAAGCAAAACTCGAATGGATTTCAACAAGGCTACAGGAGAAAGGTTTCACCAAGGTCAACACTTAACCTTTACTTTTAGCCTTACTTTATAGATATGGATATTCCCATTCATATTGACTTTTTCTTTGTAAACTATTTACAAAAACTCATGGATTTTATTCCATCAGGAGGCTTGACCAAGGTCCAACTCTTATTCACATATGTCGAGTTCATCTCAAGTTTCATGGCCTCTTGCTGTCTCTTTTAAGTTAACACTTGACTTTATTTTGGTGCAATTAATAGGTTCATCATCCCAGATCAGTAATACCTGATTAGTAATCACAAATTTGCACCTTCTTGAAGGTCGAATGATCCTACTAGATTCACATGGAGTTGACATGTCCTCAGGAGTCTTTACTTCCTGACCAAGAGTATGTCCCATATCAGATATGGGATCAAATTCGAATTTATCTACTTGGTCAACTATATTTGTGGACTCTTGAACTTTTTCAAGTTCTATTTTGCTTTCACTATCCTCCCTTAGAGTAAACATTTTCTCTAAGAAGACAATATGTCGTGAGATGAAGACTTTTTTCACGATAATAGAATTTATATTCAAATATCTGCTTTGAATATCCCACAAATATGTATTTATCGGATTTAGTGTCAAACTTATCCGATTTAAGGTGTTTCAAATAAGAGTCATGGCCTCAAACTTTCATATGAGATAAATTGGGACTACTGCCTTTTCCATTGGATTTCTATTAACCAATTTAGATGTGACATGATTTAGTGTGTTGCACACTACAATCAATGCATGACCCCAAAACAATTTTGGGAGATTTGCATGGCTTGTTATTAATCGCATTATATCTAATAATTAACGATTCCTCCTTTTAGATACACCCCTATGTTGCAGTGTATATGGAGGATTTCACTGCAAGAGAATCTCATTCTCTCTTAGATAATCTAAATTTTATCTTTAAGATATTTTCACTCGATCGAATCTTAATGTAAGAGTATCTTTACCTATTTATTTCTCTACTTCTAGTTTGAATCCTTTGAACTTTTTAAGAGTTTCATATTTGAATTTTCATCAAGTATATGATCATTGATGAAATAAGAGAAACATTACCTAACCTCATTTGACATGAGTCCATATGCACCACTATGCATTAGACCAGTGATTATGCTGATCTTTC